AATTCCCACCCCCTAAGAGTGAGCCTATTATATGCCCCACCCTGTATATACATACAGGTCATAAAACGGGGTACGCGCCAAACAGTTCACAAGTAATTAAGATAAGTTTCAATTATTTTATAGAGTCACGTTGGCATTTTTTGCGGTTTGCGGCTTAGATGTGTTGAATTCATTGGATGTGTTATCAGAAAATCGACGACGTGAGATATGTGATTGGATTTATCGTTTTCAAATTGTTTCGAATGATTCGCCAAATTGTAGCGGTTTCCAAGGCTCATCCTCATTGAATATTAAACGCAGCAACGGATGCGGAAGTGAAGTATCATACAAATGGGGCCATTTAGCAATGACTTATACAGGCATATCGATGCTTGTCACTCTTGGTGACGATTTGAGTCGACTCAATCGAAAGGCAATCATCGAAGGAGTTGCGGCCGTTCAACGAGACGATGGCAGTTTCAGCGCTTCAGTTGAGGGCAACGAACATGATATGCGATTTGTTTATTGTGCTGCCGCCATTTGCTATATGCTTGATGATTGGGGCACCGTAAACAAACAATTAATGGCAAATTACATTAAGAGTAGCATTGTAAGCATTGATTAAATCGCCCCTTGGAGCCTTAGATATTTTGAATACGATTTTAAATTGATTCTATTACACACATTAGAGATATGATTGCGGTGTTAGCCAACATTACGAAATGGAAAGCCATGGTGGAACCACATTTTGTGCCATTGCTGCACTTCATTTAAGCGGCCAAATGGATGTGTTGTCCGAATCAACGAGAGATAAACTCATACGATGGCTTGTTTTTAGACAGGTACTTACTTTCGAATGAACATAATATTCTTGTTATCTTTCTGTCTCCAGTAAATTTGCAATAAATTTTAATTCAAATTGATTTTTTGTATAGGAAACTGGCTTTAATGGCAGACCGAACAAACCAAGCGACGCTTGTTATTCCTTTTGGATTGGTGCGACATTGAAAATACTGGGCGCATTTCAATTTACCAACTACAGCGGTAATCGAGAGTAAGTCTAACATTTAATTTGCCATACGATCAAAGTAGTAGACGCGATGTATGATTTCTATGTGGTAAATTTGTTTCATTCCTATCAGATATTTGCTGGAAACACAAGACGTAATAACTGGAGGATTTTCCAAATGGCCAGGTTCATCGCCCGACCCATTTCACACGTACTTCAGTTTGTGTGGTTTAAGCTTTATCAACGAAGAAGGTCTACTACCCGTCATGCCGAGCCTAAACATATCGCAGCGCGCTTACGAACATCTCTGTGAAATTCAACGCACATGGAAACAACAGCAACAAACAAATGATGCAATCGACACTCGATTAGACATCGAATAAGATAAAGCACATAAAGCATCTGTTGAACAGACATTTCCATTATTTTCAATTTTAATTGTATACAATTTATTTTATTATTGCAACACATCTTCTTATAAACATTTATGACTATTTATTTTCTGGTCAAATAAAAAAATGAATGAATTATTATGTGAAAATGTGAATATTTTAGGAATAAAAGAATGGATGAATTTGAAAAGATAAAACAATACTATTTCGGTCTCTAATTATTTAAAACAACACTTGTAAATAGAATATTCAATATCACAACGGTATTTTTAAAAATTATTTTGATGAGAGAATTTTATGAACCAATCCAACCGGTACAGTTTGGAGATTCGCAGAAACATTCTTGTGCGTCTTTGCTGCAAAATAAAAACGGTATTTCTTGATAAATGGTAGTGGAATGACAGATGAAAAAAAAAACAGTAGAAATGTCAATCCAAAGTTGACTTACCCAAATCGTTCAAATTGATAGTTCATTGTTATTTCTTCGAACGCTTTAATTGTTCGCTTGGTATAAATGCCTATACGACATTCACCGTCAACAGTCCATTTTTGTGTTTCAGCATTTGGGTCGCAAGAATGATTGATGAATCGCGTTAGATTCCCCTTTTGTGTGGCATCAAATAAATTTTTACCCGATGCAGTCATTACATAGTGATGACGAATTTTCTGTTTAGAATATGATTTGCTGCGTTTCGTAAATTCCGCCATGCTCACAACTTCCCCAACAAATTCCATGATGAATGTGTCCTTTCCAATGATGTCCGTCGATGCAAATAGTCCGTAGCCCTTTTTCTCTGAAAAAAAAAAAACCAAATTCAGTATAAAATTGTTTTTTCGAATCTAGTCAGTCGGTCAGAAGATAATTCTTTTTTTGTTCAACTTACCGGTGATGAAAATGGTGACGGGTGCATTTTCTTGTTTTCGAATTCGTTGATTGCTGCACAAATGTCCGAACTTACATCTGTCATCACATTCGATGTTAATGGCACGATTCAAACATTTGTTGCCACAACCAAATTCACTCGAAACGATTTGTCCTCTTGTCAATGTGCATCCACATGGAGAGTCATCGTCGTTGTTGGTTTTCTTTCGTCGAATTAAATATTCATTTTTTGTTATGTACGTAAACTGTTCCAGTGCTCGTTTATAATGAATATTTTCCAATTCCAATTTTATTTCATTTTCTTTCGATTCGGCTTCGATATTGCTTTTTTTCGGCAACAAATTATTGTTCTCCAAATCCAGACCCAAGTTCAAAAGTGATAAATCGGGAAGCGATCGATTGTATTGTATTTGAATTCGAACCGAGCGTCTTCTATTCATCTTGTTAACGTTTGAATCATCAATTTTCAATTGTTCAAATCCACTTTGAAGGAGATGTTCGACACTTTTAGCGCTCATCTTGATGTTTTATGTTTATGATAAATGTGAAACGGTAAAAGTGCAAACAAATTCAACACGAATAGTCTTGTTGACCGCTTCTATACAATAAACAGCATTCATAATTTGAATGTGACAGCTGTCAATATCAGCGCTCCCGCATAAACATACACATTCACACAATTTTCCATCACAATAAAGTTTGAGGTTAGGTCTGTTTGACACAGAAATTTTTTGTATGGCCATCAGTGTCTCTCTTTTTTTATTCATTCGAAACAAAAAACTTGTCGTATTGAAATAAATTCGGAAAAATTATTTAATAAAGATGCGGCTCACACAAATTCTATTGAAAGCAAGATGGGAAAAGGAAATCGGTGCTGTCGGTGAAATGACCGAAAAATATTCAAATTTACCCAGATCATATATTCGACGTTCTATGCGACAGGTATTCATCCAATTTTTCATTAAATGAATGCATTTTATACAACAGTAATTGAATTTCGTTAGATTGAATGGCAAACACCAAGAGGAAATCCACGCTATTGGCCAAGAACACTGGAAAGACAACGATTCATATTCACGGCTAATCGACCATGGACACAAGATTTTTGGAAAGATAACTATCCCGGCAAACAAGTTAAAAGAATATTTTTGGAACCTGTTGGTAAGTGGATAATTTTTTATACTTGAATGTCTGCTGATTTTCTAACTGAATGCATCAAATGAAATATAACTTATGCGTTTACATTTGTTAGAAACATGGAGTTGGTTCCGTGGTGACCGTGTTGAAATATTGACGGGACCTGATAAGGGCAAACAAGGCATCATCAACCAGATTTTACAAGAACGGAATTGGGTATTTGTTGAAGGTTTAAATTGCAAACAAGTCACCTATGGTAAAACAAAAAATTTCCCCGGCGTTGTGGGTAAGGTTGAGAGACCCTTACTGGTAAGCAAACTCACCGATTTTTTTTAACTTTCAATTTGAACTTGTGTTTGCTCAAGAATCTATTGCTCATTCATTATACCTTCCTATTGTTATATCAGGTGACATCGGAAATAAAATTAGTCGATCCAGCGGATTTGCAAGCAACCGAATTTGAGTGGCGTTACAATGAAGATGGATCAAGGATTCGTATTTCGTTGCGAACTGGTCGCGAAATACCAATTCCAGCCTCAGCTGAAGAGACATATGATTACAAATCGAAAGCACAATATTTTGAACGACCAAAAGATACTAAAGCAAAAGAGGTTGAAAAGATTACCTTCTATCCGAAATTGAAGACATTCGAAATGGAAATCATGGATGAGATGGGCATCAAAGAAGATCGAGTACCAGCTAAAACTTATTGGTATTAAAAAAAATCGTTTGTGTTTTGAAGAGAAATATTAAAAGAACTAGATGAATAAAAGATGTTAAAAGAATAAAATAACGGTTTTTTGTTTCATTAATTCGTTAAAATATATATATTCGCATATATATTATAATATTAAATGCGTGTGTAATCGTATATAATATATGTATACATTTCCAATATGAAAATCTTAAATAAAAACATTTTATTTTTGTTTTTTGTATTATTTTGTTTAGACATAGATTGCATTGTAGCCTTTGCATTTGGTGCATCCTACTAAAAAAACAATAAGTTGTTGTTTTTTGTAGTTTTCTAATTGGCATTAGCACGTGTTTTTTGTACGATTACTTCTGATTGGTGTTGCCGCTATTAAGAATGTTTGTGGGACTATTATCCATTCGGCTAAAGTCTAAGCTAAATCGACCAGTGCTAGATAAAGGACTTGGTAGAGTTTTTGGACGCAAACTTGGTGAGAGCTGGTTTTGTTCCTGTTTGGTGTTTGTTGCACGATGCAAAATGCAAGTTAAAAAGAAAGAGATTCGAGAAAAAACATTAGTATCGGTTATTGGTGCCATTTATAAGGGGACATTTATTGTATTGTATTGGTTATTTTTGTTTGGTATACGGAATAACAAATGTGGATGTGAAACTACAAGGCTGGGTGGTTGTGCTATGGTGTTGTAAGTATTTGGAACACAAATGGGGACAAGAGTTAAACATATATAGATTGATTCAAACCAATGAGTTATTTGATGTGTGTGTCGATTGTGATGTATATGATTGAAATGTTGGTGTGTCACGTTTCGATGATGCAACTTTCTCCTGAATTGAACTTATAGTTTTGGCCAACCATGGCTGCCAGCTATTGCGATTACTTTGTATTTCAGCGATCAGCGTATTCAATTGATGGGTCAAATCCTGGTTTCGGCATTGAGATTCGACTAAATCCAGTTTTGTCTGTGCTAACGCCAATTCGAGCTCTTTTATTTGCTTCGAAGCGATCTCCAATGGATCCAACGGACCCAAATTGTTGAGCGCTTGCTTTGAACCGAATTTCTCACTTTTTTCACTTAATTCCGACGACGAATCCACATCGTCCGATGAGCAGCTGGTGCATTTTGCGCTTTTATCCTATAAAAAAAAACACGACAAATTACATTACTGTTTGTTCATAGAATACAGAAAAAGCGATTCTCACTTACTTTTAGTTTTGTGATTTGTTGTTCTTGTCGTTGAATAATCTGCTTATAATCGTCGATGATAGTTTTGTTGCGTTCCACTTCATGTTTATTCTTATCTTCGGCTTGTTTCAATTTACTTTGTAGCATTAAAATATCCGCTTTGTATTTGGTACGTTCTTCATCGAAACGCAGCTCATACTCTTTCGTGGCAGCTTCTTTCTTTTCGGCCAATTCCTTTTGTGCCAAAAATTCGTCTTCGTATTGCTTTAATCGTTTTACCTTACGTTCGGTGGCTTTCTTCATGAGTTTGCGTGCAAATGTTGTGCTGCGACATCGTTTCGGCAATGTTACACGGAAATACTTTAATATTCCTTCGAAATCCAATGTTCGTAGTTCGTTTTCAAATTCATTGAGCAACGTCAACGCAACTTGGAAGAGAATTTGTATTCCATCAAGGAAAAATACATCTAAAATGTGAAAAACTAGATAGAGCGGGAAGCGCGCTGTGAACAATGTCAAGAACCACTGGCTCGCAAACATGTGAGTTTCGACCCCCAATTGTTCAAAGTGTTCGTGTAATTTTGGCATTTGATCTTTTATCAAACGATTCAATTGATATAATCGCAAAGAGAGCATTACAAAACCGTCCTTGTATAAGTCACGCAATTTATACTCGTACATAAGTGCAACTAGAACACAAAAAGCCTCCTCTTCGGGCATCTGAAAAGAGTATTGAATAAGTTTTTAAAAAAATCGATTTCAAACCAAATGTTCTAAATAACGAAGGCAAAAAAACCGAATTGCCCTAGTCTCACTTACATGAAGCAATAAACTGGCTGCGATAAATGTTAAACCTTGGCAATAACCTACTTCGGTGTCATAAACTGCATACGCTTTAGATACTTTGAATAGTGCATCCTGTCCGGAGCCGCCAATTTCTTTGAAAAATTTATTCGCCGGAAATGTTCGATTAATATCACGTTGAATGACTGTTTCGCATTTGGTTTCTTTTGTCAATAACAATCGATATGCATCAATAAGAGCGGCATTATTCTCAACACCGCTTAATCGTTGCCACATTTTATCTCGTAATTTCTCGGGTATTCCCAATCGCACTAAATGCGATAGATTCTTTGGTCGTTTTCCATCCCAATCCGATGTCATAATTGGGCACCACTCGTCGAGCACTTCTTGTGATATATCTTGTGGAATACACTCTTCGCCGGTGCCACTAAGCAACGGTTCATCACCATCCGAATCATCGTAATCGACTGGACTTTCATCTTGTTCAATCGAAATGGTGCTCGGTGATCGAACTAATTTAAAGCCCCAATTCTTTAGAATCGATGACGGTTGTACGTGTGTCGATGTGGCCGGTTCAACAATTTCATCCGATGGATCGATTGAGCTTACTTCCCATCCACCATCACCGCTGTCCTTCAATTGCAAATAAAAACGTTGTGACATCGATTTTTTGCTGCTAAACACATCCATCAAACGCATTTCATGCTGCGAATGAATCATTACGGCCGTTTCAATGACAAACCGTACTGGTTCTTGAATTCCACGAATCACCAAATCAACGGCAATTGTTATACTCAATTTGCTTGATTCAACATTCAATTGTTCGAAATTTTTGTCATTTGCCTTCCATTCGGCTCGTATTATGTACGGTGAAAATGGTGTGGCATTACTTGACGTTTGACTCTGACTGAATTGATGTTCCGTTTTTGTGTAGCCCATCGATACCATGTCGAGTAATTTCATGTCAGCTTGACGCACCAATTTTCCGGGATTTAATAGCACGCCAAAGCATCTGTCAATGAATAGAACTGGAAAATTTGATGGTGGCGTTTGATTCACTGTAATTGTGAACTCTTTGTCGGTATTTGCACGCAATTTAAAACCGGTTCGATCGCGTGGCACCGCACTGTACGATGTCTTTGCCATTTTCTCACGAATTTGCAGCGACACCACAAATTCATATCCAGCTGCATTGATTGGATTGCCCGATACATCCGACAAAATCGATGACGTCATCGCATTATTTATATCACCCAATCCAGACATAACGCTTGCTGTCATACTGGCCGACATTGGCGATTGAAATGCTTTCGAAAAACAACCTATAGATATGTGTCAATTGGGAGGATGTCAATTAGATTAGAAGCTGCACAATGGATTTGTAAGCAAAAATGATGAGGAAAACATCTTGAAATACTTACTGCTAACTTGATTAACGGCTTCGGGAATATTACATCGAAATATATGGCAATGAAATAATGGATTCAACTCATTTGTTTCACCCGTTTGAAATGTAAATGCAAAGCATGCCTGATCCTGACCAGCTGGTGGACCTCGGAAATAAAATATGATTCGACTCACTTCATATCGATGAATTACCGCATTTGTTTCACTATCGTGCAATCTGTAATCAACATCAACAACAACACACAATTGCGTCGATTAAAAGAAAACATTCTACAGATGTTTTTTTGAACAGAAAAAAACGTTGTATTGTTATTTAAAAAAATGAATACACTTACACCACATATCCTTCAGAACACGACGGAATGCTAACAGACACTTTCATCCCGTTCGATTGTGAATGTGAATTCATCTCGTTGATATTTCGTAAAATTTCATTCTCTGATTTTGGTGCGTTTATTTTCGCCGAACCGAGATATGTTACGCCTGAAAACTCTGTACAATCTTGATCAATATCTGACACTGAAAGCAAATAAAGAACATTTTAAGCAATGAGCTATTTAACAGAAACACGTTTTTGTTTAAAATCTACCGGAGTAAAACAACAGTTGTTTTTATCGCATTTTGTCGAATAATTTGATTCGATAAAAGATGAAAAAAATGGGTAATTTGAATTTGACATTGAATTTCATCACACTGTGTAATTACCAAGAACACAATTGTAGCATTTTTCAACAAATAATAATTGACATAAAAACAAAATAACAAAATGAGAAATAAACGATAAAAATTGCTGCGCAAAATAGCAAAAAAAAAAAAAACTTGAACATACTTTCTTCATCGGTGTCACTTTGTTCTGGTTTCATAAAGTCCTGTTTTTCGGCCATCGGACTAAGATTCAAATGGCCATAGAATACGGATTGTCCCACTTTATTCATGTCGATTTGATTGTTTGCTGTTCCGTCGGGTGAACAAGCTTGAGTTCTACTGGACTCCAATTGCATTGAATCACAAACTACGACGCTCTTTGTATTATTCTCATCCATTTTATTTGCAGTGTGTCGAGAATCTACATAAATTGATAACAAGTACAACAAGAGAAAAAAGAAAACATCGTTATGAGTAATAGAATATTTCTCCCACTCGTTTTGATTCACACAATTACTACATAAATATAAAAAAAATCGCGTGTTTACTTGCACACAAAAGGAGAAACATTTTCAGTTTGTTTTTGCTTTTTGACGAGCTCATTTGAAAATGACTAACGCAACAATAAAAATTCAATTGAAATAAATGAAGCAGTGGCTGCGGCTTAATTTTAAGATTCTGTAACCGAAAATGTGAAAGGAAATGGTATTGATTTGTTATCGTTTGCTCGTGTCGAAGTGCACTAGGTGTCGAAATACGAACTCTCAATGAATTTTGTTCGATTTTAAACTGTCAAGCCGTTGACAGTGTCAACTTTAGTATGCACAAATGGTGACTGTGATTGACAAAAATCACCATTCAAAAAGAGATCACATTCGATACTGAACGATGTATTTCGATTATTCTTAGCTCAGTGCGTGTTTTTTTATTCTTCAATGAGTGACTTGCCATTGGATTTATATGTATTTGTGTGTTTGATTTTATTTCCCGGCTGCTCTTCACTTCAAAAATTATTGTTATTACAAATGTACGCATCTCATTTGTTCGTATCGTTCGATAAATAGAGCTAGTCATGTCACTTGTTTATTTTTATTGTTTTCTCAAAAGCGAAAAATAACAACAATTTACATTGTTTCTATGTCAACGTTTCAAAAACACATTAAAACCATGACTTGTTCTGGCATCAAAAAATTGAATTTATGTTATGTTTATTTGCTCTTTTAACCGAATTCGGTCCCGAACCAATTTCCGTGAACATTTTTTTTCTCAGAAAAATATCGGATTTTCTTTAAGCACAACACTAAAACTCGATTCGTGCATTGCATAGCGAATCCTGAATTTTGAGTTCACTTAATTACGTGGCATTATACCAAACTCAAGTCGAGACAAATAACACTTGATATTCTCCATGCTTTTTGCAGTTCTTTCTTTCTTTGTTCATATTTAGGGATTATCAGTGTAAATGTACTGCAAGGCAAAGAATATTGACCGATAATCCATAGAAATGACAACAGTCAGATTTAATGTCTCCTATGTAAATAGAAAATTACCCGTGTCAATTTTAGTCGACTGTCCTGTGATCTGTGATGCGTCTATAGTGTGTGTGGTGGTTGTTGTATTATTATCCAGTTCATGAATCACTTCGGTTAAATTTTTTTCCAAATCGTTGAAATTTCCGTTGTTTGCAATATTCAGAGTTGGCGACGTACCGAGCAATTGTGTGCTTTGCGTTTCTAATTCACCAACGGGGACAATTTCATATTCGCCGCTTGTCGTAACCGAATCCGATGATTTAATACTTAATTTGTCATCCATTGCGTATTTGCAAAGGCATACATGTGCGCTATTTGTTCAATTGTTGCCGATCTCAAATTTCACACTCTCTTGAATATGGTATATGTGTGTATGTGATAGTACTTTATTCAGAAACACACACAATACCTTTTGTCAAACAAACCGTTTTTCTATCAATTTTGCTCAAACGGAGATCGACGTCTTTTTCACGCGATGGTACAATTGAAAAACAGTTGTCGTTAGAATTTACATGAACGTATGTTTATGTCTCAGACTTTGTCGAGTTTTTTTTTTGCTTCAAATCAAACGTAAGATTGTTTACGAACGAAACATTGATAATAGTATAATCGATCGTTGTTCCCTTTCTCTTTCTCTCTATCTCGAAAGTTACAGCTGTTTGAACGCAACCATGTATATGCATTGACTTTTGTTTATCATTTTTCTTTCGTGTTGTTGTTACTTGTTAGTATATTTGCTTTCAATTGTTTATTGACGAATGCTGCGCCTTTGTCATGGATACTAAATTAGTCTCAGAGTATACCTGCAATGAAAACAAATGCATACACCAATGTGTTTTATATTAAAAAAACGAACAGGCTCATTAATATAAATAGAAATTTAATCATCGATCAGGTGATGAATGAATAATCATCAAACACTTATATGGAATGGTGATTGTTTTGGACTTATATTTTTTGCTTTCTCTCTATTAAATTACTGACTTTATTTTCTTTTTCCATTTTTTAATTTATTTTTGTCTTGAAAGGTACTTTTCTTGTCTTTTTTGTTTCGAAATCGATTCAACACTGACAACAACGACATTAAAAATTCATTTCGCATTTCCAGACAGCTCTTTATATGCAAGTCGAATGTTCTTTGTTTGTTCTGTCACTGTTTTCTATTTACAAAGGAATCTTACAATACATCCATCGCAAAAATGCACTCAGCGATAAAAAAATTTAAATTCCTTAACATGAATATTCTTCAAAACTGACCAAACATATTCTGAAACAAATATTTTCATTGATTTAAAAAGTAGATAAGATAACTTGAAAACTGCCTCTTTTTTCTCGTTAAAATTACGTTTTTGATGTTATTTACAATGAGTTGTCATTGAAATGTCAAAAAAGAACATTTGTTTGTAAAACTCACACTCCCAAAAATGTTACTGATTGTCATATGATAAATTTATATCCTTATTGCATGTGATAAAAAATGCAAAAACAAAGGCCTTCGACCGATTGCATGTGCCCATTAAAACTGTGCCGAGGGTACAATGCACTTGAGTTGAGGAAAAAAAAAATCAATCGACTTAGTGTTGCCAATTAATATATAACTTCGATGGATGGATGCATTTTAAACACTAATTAAATGTTTTGAATGATCAAATGACCCAATCGTTTGACCTATGATCCTTTGTCAACTTTTGATAAAAGAAGAAACGAATATTTTTAGAAAAAAAAAAAAATACATACCAGTCGAAATTATCTCAGCAAATAAAAAATATTCAAATTTACGTGCACTAGGTCAAGCTTTTGCCAAAAGAGAATCTTTGCGATGGCGTATTCACACGAAAAACTATCAAAAATTCATTTCACAGTAATACAACTGAATTGATTGTATAAATATTGTCTAAACAATTATTCACCGTAATCATTGTAGTCAGATGCGAAAAAAAATGAATTTGATGAGAGCAATATATATATATATTGATTTGTATTGACGTATACTACCAAAACTGTTTAGCAAAACACACAAATATTGACAAATGAGTTTTGTATGTTGATATGTATACACCATTGTCATATACACTTAATGACGCCAACGACATCTTGCGATCTTTGTGCGAACAAACGAACAGAGAGAGAGTATATGAAAATATGCCCCTCTCAATATTCGAATCGCTGATGACAATTATGAAGTGACATTAACCGCTAGTCAGTGGTGTGAGTGAGTGGACAGAATAAATAAAATTTAAACCATTTTCAAATAAAATTCAAACTAAAGTGAAAAACACAATACTTTGAATTGGCGTTATCGAGTTTTCTTTGCTTGCGAATTTCAAATCGAAAACGGTAAGAATTTTCCCCTTTTCGTAGAAATTATTTCGGTCGTTGCACATGGGTTCATATTTTAAAGTCAAACATAACAAATGGATTTTCAAAAGAGGGAGAGAGAGTGAGCCGTCAATATGTCAACAATGCCTTAAGCAGTTAGCGCCAACCTTAAAATACTAATGTAAATCGTTTTATATTGTTTCGTTAATTTCGCTTTATACACACATTCGTCGTACACCGCCACCAAAGAGTGAGATAGCCAGATTCACGTATATAAACGTGTGTGTATGTTTTATGTTGCTTAGTATCTTAGCTACGTTTGCTGCGATTTTTGTTATGTTAATGTTGCTCGGAACGCGAAAGAGCGAAAACCATATATTTTTTTATTCCTCGATGGTATGAGAGTGCATACAAACGAGACGCAATTTTTTTTTGTTGTTTCTAAAAGTGCAGTGATGTAATTAATCAAATACGATTGGTGTACATATTCATTTTCATTTATTTATCGAACAAATAAAATAATAAATTTTTGGTGTAAAAATTATTGATTAAAAAAAGGCGAAACGACAACAACGGTGGCAAGTGGAGAAAAAAACCACCAAACCAATGGTTTTTTATCGAATTTTTCGGTGATTTAAGACAAACATCTTGTCAATAATACAATTATCGTGTCGTTGTGCATACAAACGCACGGCCACACAGACAAACGTCTTTTCGTCGAACAGTCATTTCGTCGAACGATCACAGGTAAAAGAGTGAATGAGACGCCACTATTTTAAAGTTCAGTTGAATAACTATTTGGTCGGTCGAACGGTCTCGCTGACAGTCTTATACAGTGTGTACGCGGATTACTCAAGTGTATGAACGTAAAATAGTGAACATAACATACAACAAACAACAATTTTTGTTGGGCGTTGACCGCTCGCTCTGTTTTTTTTTTTTGGTTTTATGTGTTTCAAATTTTTAAAATTCAATTTTAATGCGTTCATTAATTTAGAAAATAATTGCAAAACAATCATTAAAAATAAAAATTCGGGTAAAAGAATTTACGTTTGTTGAATGTGTATGCGTGTGTATTTTGTTTAAGAATGGTGCTGGGTACTGTGTTTGTGATTCACCTGTGGAATGTATCTGTATTATAGACTATATTTGGGCGTGGATTAGTACGTAAGAAACCGATCGCGATTCCATTTCTTAATCAACGATCTTTAATTTGATTTTGATGAAAATTTCCGTTTCATTTCGCCAAAAGCGTTCAACGCACGCAAATCAATGAAATATGGTTATTTTGCTCACCCTAAAATCCGATCATATTTCAAATGTTAAACACTAATTACCATTTGTGTGTATGTTCCCTAGAGTTTTTTTTATTATTTGGTGCGTGCTATGCACGTTGAGTCAGCGAGTGAATGAGTCTGTATGCTCCGTGTGTTGTGTTGAATGAAAAGAGAGACACTGTGTGTGCGCGCGTATCTTTGATAGAAAGAGAGAGTGAGAATGAATGAGTAAGTTTGTGCACACACCGTTCTAATCGAAAATAACATGAATGGATGATATTGTGTCGAGTGGTGAACAGCAGACGTACATCGTCGCATTTGTAGTTGTTGTTTATTGTGACATATGCGAGAATTGTTCCTGTTTCTATCTCCTGTATCTGTGCGATACACACTCATCCAGAGTATTAGCTGGATGAGCATGTGTTTTTATATGAGTAACAGTTTCAATTTTTTTTTTCTGTCTGTTTCTCTCTTCTCTCCGACCCATTGTTGTTATTGTTTGTATATGCTTCTCTGTGTGTACCGATTGTGTTTTTGTCTATTTCCGAGTAATGCACACTCCCAAAAGCGGCTGCGATTATTATTACGAACCGTGCTGCACATGGACATTCTGCATCTATTTTACAATGGCACAAAAACCGTAACGAATGTTCTCGGCATTTTTGCGTCTGATGTGTTTATATACATCCGATCCGACAAAAGCCCCCGATCGACGATAATTTTTATGTGTGTAATTTAAATTAACGATAAACCAATAAAATTGAGCCGCCAACAGGAAAAAACAATGCGATCAGTTGTGTTGTTGTTGTCATAGCAAAACGATATAAATAAATGTCCGGCTCATTCAGCGATATTCAATACGCATATTTTTCTCTGTCTCTGTCTCTACTATCTCTCCAAAAATATATACGCATTAACATTCTTTGTGTCGGCTTCATCGTATTCGATTTCAATTTCAATTGCATTAGCTGCTTTTTTTGTGAGAGAGTCAGTCGAGTCATAGCAGCTTGTGCATTCAATTCTCGCTTAAATTAGATTCGGTTGATCGAGCAGCAGTGCACTTAAGTGTGAAAGTGCAGCAAGAGTGTGGCCATTGTATGAATACAGTTTATGTCTGTTTTGTTTGAAATTCTAAAAATATAATAATAATCGATTGATCCAGGAAATTGAATATTCCTTTTCACTTTCATTCTATTTGTTTATTCATTGTGTATCATTATTATTATTTTCTTCGTTTCTCTCCCTCTCTTTTCTCAAAAAGGAATCGAATTTAGGTCTGGAAAGGAATAAAGAATTTAACACCACACCACAATGAGGCAACCTTTATGGTCCTCGACATATTTCATCGGCATTACACTGTGTGTAATCGTATTTAGTTGTAGTTGGAGCAAAGCTCAAAGTAATTTCAACAATGACATAAACTATCAACAAAATCCATTTGATGCATCATCGTCACCACCGTTGCCACAAGGCAGCGATTCAAATTATCGAAATCAATTCAACCGTGACCAATTTGGTGGAAGTAATGATGACGTTTTTGCAGCCGGAAGAACAACACCCCGAAATTATGATCCATTCAGCAGTGATGTGAACAATCGTGATCCATTCAATTCAAATCCATCGAATGACATTAACAGAGACCGAGATATCTATAATAATCGCAATAGTTTCGGCGGAGTGAACAACAATAATGATGAAAGTCGTTATTATCAGTCGCCATCACGAAATTTTGATCAATTTGGTCGTCCGATTACGCCAGCCCCAGATGCCGGCGTCAATTATAATCGTGGCCGTAATCCATTCCGAACAAATTTCTTAGACCAAATGGCAAACAATATATTCGCCGAACCAACATATTTCATAGTCGCATCGCGAATGGTTCGACCTGGTCAAGTGTACAGAGTTTCGGTACAAGTTTTACAGTCACCCATTCCAATCACAGTGAGAGCATCCATTTCACGCAGTGGCGTTGAAATCAGTGGCGATAAAAAAGAAATTAAAATTGGCATTCCGGAAACAATGTTGATGAGAGTTCCACCGACAAGTGTGTCCGGCGATTATAAGCTACGCGTTGAAGGTGTTTATGCACAAGTTCTGGGCGGGATTGCATTTATCAACGAAACACGATTGACATTTTCACAACGATCGATGACAATATTCGTGCAAACCGATAAACCAGTTTATATGCAAGGCGAAACGGTTCGATTCCGTGCAATTCCAATCACAACGTCATTGCGTGGTTTCGATAATGCCATCGATGTATACATGATTGATCCACACAAACACATTTTACGACGATGGCTGTCGCGACAATCGAATTTAGGAACAGTCAGTTTGGACTATACACTATCGGATCAACCGATTTTCGGTGATTGGACCATTCGTGTGGTTGCACAAGGTCAAATTGAAGAGCATAAATTCAGCGTTGAAGAATACTATCAAACACGTTTCGAGGTGAATGTAACAATGCCAGCGTTCTTCTTCAACACCGATCCATTTATTCATGGAAAAATTATGGCAAATTTCACAAGCGGTGCACCAGTCAGAGGAAATTTAACGATTAAAGCACAAGTTCGACCACTTGGATGGTTCAATTCAAAAGTGATCAATCAAAAGTATCGTGTGGGAAATACAGGAGCACGAAATTTACCAGACTATAATATTGATGAGAAATATTTGAATAATCCAAATATTAACTTTGATTATGGACCAAACTTTAATCCACAAGAGGGTATCAATCAGCAAAATTCACCTTCAACACTTGATCAACCATATTCGGCGCAACCACCACCATCTGGTTACTCATACCAAGATCAATACATCGTTGAACGTTACTTTAATTTTGACGAAGAATGGCCATTTTGGATTAAAAAACCCGACACAAATCCAACTTGGGATCCATGGACCAAGCAATATCACAACCAATTACCGTATTTGCGTTATTTCAATGGAACATATGAATTCCGATTTCCAATGTCTGAATTGGAAACGATGATGCCATCATCACAAGGCATGGAGGTATTGATCACGGCAACTGTTGGTGAAAAATTCTACGAAGAAGTAATTCAAGGTTATGCAATGGCACGCATTTATAATTCATCGATTCGTGTAAATTATTTGGGTGGATCACCGCAAGTATTTAAACCAACGATGCCATACATGTTGTATTTGGTTGCACAGTATCATGATGGTTCACCATTATACTTTGACCCATTCTTTCCTGAAGTGATGGAAATCACCGGATTTGTTGAAAGTCGTTCGGGCGGTCGTCGTGATTATCCCCTTCGTAATTTACCAATGTCTGATAAGGCTGGCATTTGGGAAATGAAATTAGATTTACGTAACGATTTGAATATCGGCGAAGATCGGGCAGGCCGTGAATTTTTGTCGGATGTACAACAAGTTCGTTTGACCGCTAATTTTATTGATCGTCGTGGTGAACGTGCAACGGCTGATTTGCTGCTGGTCACACATTTCTCACCGCAAAATCGTCAAATTAAAATCCATACCAGTACGCGTGATGCCAAAGTTGGCGAATACATTGTGTTGCATGTACAAACAAATTTCTTTGCGGAATCATTTAATTATGTGCTAATGTCAAAAGGAATAATATTGTTGTCGGGTCAAGAGGAGATGTTGGAAGGTATTCGAACGATGGCCATTACATTATCGGCTGAAATGGCACCGGTTGCAACATTTGTCGTTTGGCACATCGGCCTACACGGGACAATTGTTAGTGACACTTTAACATTCCCAGTGAATGGAATATCACGAAATAAATTCACCGTTTTAATTAATAATCGGAAAGGACGTACAGGAGAACGTGTTGAAGTGGCTGTTTATGGTGAACCGGGCGCATATGTCGGTCTCTCGGGTATTGACAATGCATTCTATACCATGCAAGCTGGTAACGAATTGACTTATGCCAATATCATTACAAAAATGAGCACATTCGATGAACAAACAAATGGAACGCATAAACAAACATGGTATTCACATGAAGGTAATCCAGATGAACTTGTGTATCATCCTTCATCATCATTTGGTATCGATGCGAATCGCACATTCGAATATGCGGGTTTGGTGATTTTCACCGATGGCGTTGTTCCGCGTCGCAATGAATTCTGTAATATAACCCTCGGGTATGGTGAATGCTTGAATGGACGATGCTACAACATTCGAAAGCGATGGTATGTATTTTAATAATATAGAAGCGAATTCTCTCTCGTTAAATTCTCTGGGACGATTTAAAGGGCGATTTTTATCTATTTTTTTTTACTCTCATTAAATATTTTCCAGCGATGGATACCTTGATTGTGAAGACGGTACGGATGAAACCAATTGTAATTACAATAATTTCACAACAGTTGCCGAATTCCGAAAGTATCGAATAAATCGTATTTTGCGACATTATCAAAACGTTTGGCTATGGAAGGATATCAACATTGGGCCGCATGGTCGTTTCATTTTCTCCGTGGATGTGCCAGAAATTCCCGCATTATGGATGGTTTCAGCGTTTAGCGTCAGTCCGACGATGGGTTTCGGTATGATAAACAAAGCAATCGAATACGTTGGTGTTCAGCCATTCTTCATAAACGTTGAAATGCCGACTGATTGTCGTCAAGGCGAACAAGTCGGTATTCGTGTAACCGTTTTCAATTATCAAACAACATCCATTGAAGCAACGGTCGTTTTGCATGGATCAGACGATTATAAATTCGTACATGTAGGAGAAAATGGTATTGTACGTTCGTATAATCCGGTTACATCGTTCGGTGAACAACAGTTCTTCATTTATTTGGAAGCACAAGGCACTACAGTCGTTTATTTGCCAATTGTGCCACAACGTTCGGGCGACATAGATGTTACAGTTCATGGTTCAACACTATTAGGAACAGACACCATCAAGCGAACAATTCACGTTGAACCTGACGGTGTACCGCAATATCGTCATCAATCGATTTTATTGGATTTGAGTAACCGTGCTTATGTATTGCAATACATGCATTGCAATATCACTGAAACCCCAATTATCACGTACGATGTTGATCGTTACTATGTTTTCGGTTCGAATCGAGCCCGTATATCGGTGGTTGGTGATGTTGTTGGACCGATTTTCCCCACAATGCCTGTCAACGCAACAAGTTTGATTCATTTGCCAATGGATTCGGCCGAACAAAATATGTTCAGCTTTGCTGCCAATTACTATACCATCATGTACATGCGTTTGATTAATCAACGCAATCGAACAACCGAAAAGAATGCTTTCTATCACATGAACATTGGTTATCAACGTCAATTGAGCTTTATGATGCCCGACGGTTCATTCTCGCTCTTCCGATCCGATTGGAATGCATCGGCCTCGTCGGTTTGGTTGACCGCCTATTGTGCACGAATGTTCCAAGAAGCGTCATTCTACGAATGGGAAAATTATCTGTATATCGATCCATTGGTCATTCAAAAGGCAATCCGCTATGTTTTGCGACATCAAACCGTTGAAGGTGCTTTCTATGAAGTCACATGGTCACCAGATCGTAAGATGAACGTCACACTTAATTTGAAAGACGGTCAAGATCACATTAAATATCGAAACATTTCATTGACGGCACATGTTCTCATCACACTTGCTACGGTGAAAGATTTATCGGGCGTAAGTTGTTTTCTCTCTCTTTCTCTCTCTTTTTTTTGAAATATTTCAGACTTGAAACAATAATTTCTTCTCCAATTTTACAGAGTTTAACTGGAAAAGTGGCGATTGCACAGCAAAATGCAATACAATGGTTGGATCGAAATTTGAAATTACTTGACGAGTCTGGTGAACCTTATGAGGTGGCTCTCGTTGCTTATGCACTGATGTTGGCCAAAGCACCAATCGCCGAACAGGCCTTTAGCATTTTGGCCAAACATGCGCGTACAATCGGTGAATATATGTATTGGGGACGTGAAGAACTGCCACCACCACCGACAAAATGGGAAAATCAAAAACCATTCTCATTGCCACGGTTGCCGTACGAATATGATTCGTTGAACATTGAAACAACTGCATATGCACTGCTTACGTATGTGTCACGTCGTGAGGTATTTGTTGAACCGATCGTTCGTTGGCTCATTAATCAACGTCTGACAGACGGTGGATGGGCTTCAACGCAAGACACTGGCACCGCATTAAAAGCACTCATCGAATACACCGTTCGAACCCGAATTCGTGACGTTTCTTCATTGGCTATCTCAGTTGAACCATCGTCCACTAGTAAAACACACACATTCTACATAAACGACAACAATTTGGCACAACTACAAACGCTTAACGTAAGCATAGCTTTTAATATAAATAAGTGCAATTGAACTTTTGATAAACTCAATTTGGCTTTTACAATTTTAATTAAATATCTCGTGACTTATTCGTTTTACAGATTCCGAATGCATGGGGAACGATCAAAGTACAAGCGAAAGGTGCCGGTTATGCCATTTTACAAATGCACGTTCAATATAATGTTGACATCGAAAAATTCCAAACAAAACCACCGGTTCCAGCATTCGAATTAAAACCATTTATTAAATTCCATGGCAGAAATCAGTCTCATATTTCATACGTTTCGTGTCAAAGGTATGCAATACAATTCCGATTAAATATTAAGTGCATTTTGTGGACATTTAATTGTGGCGATGAAAAAAATATGAAATGAATTTATTCGTTGGCTCTTTTCAGATGGACCCACTTGAATGAATCGATTCGATCTGGTATGGCCGTTCTGGATGTATCAATTCCAACTGGTTACTGGATTCAACAGCAAAAATTGGATGCTTACATATTGAGCAAACATGTGCGAAACCTTCAACGAGCCCGATTCCAAAATAACAAAGTTCTTTTCTACTTCGACTACGTAAGTAGAATATTACGGCTCTTTTCCAGCCAAAAGCAAAATAATAATCACAATGGTCTTAATTTCAGCTCGATCACGAAGAGACTTGCGTGAACTTTACAATCGAAAGATGGTATCCAGTTGCAAATATGTCACGTTATTTACCGCTTCGAGTATACGATTATTACGCACCAGGTAAAGGGATTTTTCACATCAAAAAATACATCTCTTTCTTCAAACTTCAAAATTTTCATCGCTTTTTTCTTCTTTCTTTTGCAGAGCGCTTTAACGAAACAATATACGATTACATCCCGACATATTTATTGAATATTTGCGAAGTGTGTGGTAGTTCGCAATGTCCATACTGTTCGATTTACAATTCAGCTATAAAGTCATTAGTGCCACTAACCTTAATAGTCTCAATGAGTTTTGTGCTAATAATACGTCACTTTCGACCTAATACTAGTTGGCTACTATTAACAATAAGTTGATTCGACTAAATCAAATCAGACACACTCAGAAAACCATCTACAAACGAAATGAAGTCAGAATATTCCGAAACCCGTCCATTTTTCTTTTGCCAATTTACTTTTCTACCTGAATGATCTGATTTTTGTTTGAGAATTTTTTTCAATTCGTCCGTATTTTAGTTTTTTGATAAATAATTCCAGTGAGTACTTCTTTTTTTAGTGCTTTGATTAGAAGTATGTATCAAATTTTGGTTTAGTTTACAAACGATCTGTACATCTAGCAATCAACCTCAAACGTCTTTTTTTACAAACATTCTCTTTCGGGCGAAAAGTGCATTTTTGAATGCAATGCAACGCTTTAATATTTAATATACATATCTGAATCTCTGAAGCAATTTTTTTCATGTAGAATTATAAGTGACAAAACCAGACATTAGGCTCGAGCTATGCATATAGCGGCTGCTATTTTATAGGTGCTATTCATAGGGGCTATTTAATTCGTGTGCTGCGTGTAACACCGAGTAGGAATATCATAGCCTACTATTCTTTTGTACATTTGAATGTGAGTACGAGAGATGTAGAAAATAACGCACAATATGCATAAATGCATTAAAACGAGCTAAATAGCGCCTATGAAAAGCAGCTATATCCATAGGTCAAACCTAATGTCTGGACAAAACCGAAAGATAGGCCATAAATGACCCTTCCAAAAAATATGAAACAGAAAATTTTTATATTAATCGCATGAAATGAACACACACACACACACACCATCGACAATAAGTTTTAATATTATAGTATTACGCATGAACGAAATCAAAAACATTAAACCACATTAAACCAGTGAACATCGAAAATAATATGGAATTGGGTATGGTATAACATACTGACTTTTGTATCATTTTCAAAGGTGCACATATTTTTTTGAGTTTGTTTGAATTTGCTTTTCAATATCTGTGTATACATGACAATTAACATTTCTTCGAGAAAAAGCAAGAGCAAACATTATGAATTTGAATGTTTAATCATTTTTATACCTAAATCAAACTATACAAAATTCAAATCAGTTGAACAGAAATCTTGCATTGTAGTACAATCGATTATAGTTAAGTATCTCGTAGAATTCCATGCTTTTTTAAAAGTGAAACAAAAAACTGAATATTTTGCAAGAAAAATATTCAAAATAAAAAAAGTCGGAAATGAAAACTCATCAATTCATTTTCACCATTTTTACTTAGACCGTGTCTCTTAAAACTCACATGACAGTGTTTAGAGAACAAACGAAAAACATTGCCGTCCAAAATGTTCTGGTCAACTCAATTTTTAAAGGAAAAATATTTAATGAAAAGAATCTATTTTCACATTAGTAGGGAATTTTTTTTTCATATTTAATCGTAGAAAATGAAAGAGAAGAAAAAAATCCAATTTATAAAACGTAAAAATTTGTTATATGAAAACATTTATTTTAAACTGGATAAAATTCAATGTAGCGAATAGAGCAAAAGTAGATTTCTAGTTTGTGTTTTTGTAAAGCAACAATCAATTCCACATGAAATCCTCAATTGTTCTAAATATATTTGTAAAGAATTAACACAAATAAAGTGAACAAATTGTTATATGTAAATGAATTATATACTTGGATTTTATTTCCCACATTGCTTTTTTGAGAACGAAACAGGTTGTAAAAATCATTCATCACACGTAAGTATATGGGAAAATCTTATAAGACCGAGATTGACTTAGACCCTTATATATTCAAATATATTTCTTTTAAATCGTGGCATATTGTAGAAAGGCATGCTCTATTTTCATGAAAGATTCAACCTTTATTACTCGAAGAACATGAAATTATTTCCCCAAGGCCGTAGTTTTAATCAATGCATGATAATTTAAATGACGGTAATATGGATGTTTCCTAATTTTTTTTCGTTTTTTCGCGGTACACTAAATTCTATTAATTTCATGCTACAAACATCACTTTAAAAAGAAGTCGTTGTTTGCTCTAATTGACCGTAGCAGAATATTTATTTATTAAAAAAAATAGTTGTTTTTATCTCAATCCAAGAAAACTTTTCTTTATGAAATAAAAAACATTCGGAAGATATAAAAATGTCAGTTTTAATTGGGCAACTTGATTTAAAAGTTAATTGGGCATAACAAATGTAACGTCTTTTGTATCGATTGTGTTCAATATAAAAGTAAAAATGTCTTTTTCGAGAAGTTATTACAAATCTACGATTTAATCGGATTTAAAAGTCCAATATTTGACTATTTTAAAGTCTGTCACCGGTTTATAAAAAGTAGTCAGTTGGTAGAACGCTGAGAAAGTAGACATTAAAAAAAACTTAAACAAAAAAGCAGTCGCTAGTTTCAAACTACACTTATTCATTAAATCTAATTCTTTTATTAAAAGTAGACAGATTGCCAAAAAAATAATGGAACGATTTAATGTGCTTAAAATAAATCAAATATTTATGGCTCATATTGGGATTTATTCACATCGCCTAACTGAATCAACCAACGAATTTTTTAAACGAACCGTTACCTACTACGTTTTATTTTTTGTGATGTTCTTGGCCATTTCTGGATCCTTATTTGCTTATCAAAATTTATTAAAATTAGATGATGCCATTGCCGCGAGCTTAGTTGCAATTGGGGGATATCAAGCGTTTGGTGTGTTTATGAGTGTTGGCTTGAAAATGGAAAATGTAAAACTCTTACATTTGAAATTGCAAGGAATTGTTGATGATATTACCGATGACGAGATTTTTGATTATTTCTGGACGGTAGAGCAAAAATGCCGAAAACTCACAAAAATCATCGCTTTCTATATCATTTTTGATGAAATGATGGTCTTCACTAGTCCAATGATATCCATTTACAATATGTTCAATGGAAACTTCAATACTTCCACATGGAGTTTACCAATAAATTTGGTGGTTCCATTTAGCACTGATTCTCTCCATGGATGGTATATTTTGTGGTTTATTCAAGCAAATATTGGTATGGCGTACTCTTTAAGCCTTACTTCGACTACATCATATTTTATCAGTTGTTGCTTTTACATTGACGGCATTTGCGAATTGTTTAAAAGAAATTTTCATTCGACGAAAAAGAATCTAATTCAATTTCGACGTGAAAATACTTCAAAACAAGCAAGAGAACTCACAGGAAAATTTTCCGAAACTATTGCTATTCATGTCAAGGCACTCGAGTGAGTGAAACAATAAATTAAACAAAATCAAATTTTGTCTGAATATTACGTTTTTCACAAGGGTTTTCAAAATAGTGGCGGATATAAATAGTGGAGTAATTTTTTCACTGCTTCCTATTACCACATTATGTCTGGCTTTGGCTATGTATAATATGGAACAAGTAAATAATTACAACAAAATACTTTTATAAATTAAATAATATGATTTTACTTGCAGTCAACGTTTGATGTCGTTAGATTTGCTGTCAATTTTCTGTGTCTGACCGCATCATTGGTATGGGCATATCTCTTCTGCTACTTTGCAACGATAACAAGTGAAAGAGTAGCATCGATTGGTTACTCGGGTTTTAGCTTTAATTGGTATGAATATCCACCAAAGTTACAAAAGTATTTAATTTTAGTAATTGCGCATTCGAATGAGCCAAAACATTTTACAGGAATCAATCTTATTGATTGTTCATTGGAAAATTTCGGAAAAGTATGAATTTCCTTTGTTTTTGAATAATTTTTCAAGCTAAAATATAAAACTCTTGTGTTTATTTTTTAACCAGATATTTCAGCAAGCTTGTTCATATTACTTGATTTTCAGAGGCTTGTCGCATCAAAATTGAATACTACTTGACATTTTAAATGAATAAAAACATGATTTCTAAAATAATAAAAAAAAATTATAATCTACAAATAATAATCAAATTTGTAAAAAAAAAATGTTAAAAAATGAAAAAAAAAAAAGGTGCCAACGACACATGGTGTTCCCAGACGGTCACCCATTCAAGTACTAACCATGCTCAATGCAGCTTAACTTCAGTGATCGGACGAGAACTGGTGCTTTTTACATGATATGGTCGTTGACGAATGTATATCGCTTATTTTCAAACACATTTTTCACTCTATTTTACTAATTTTGCTTAATAACACCAAGTAATCCATATAATAATAAAAAATTAATTGAAAACTGAAAGTAAAAAGCGTTTTCTTTCACCTGGAACTAAAAACAGTCTTTGAGTAATATTATAATTGCTTCAAAAGTGTGTTTTAGATATTATGTTTGAAGAATGTCTACGCAAATAAGGGTTATATATTTGTCAACGACCATATCATGTAAAAAGCACCAGTTCTCGTCCGATCACTGAAGTTAAGCTGCATTGAGCATGGTTAGTACTTGAATGGGTGACCGTCTGGGAACACCATGTGTCGTTGGCACCATTTCTTTTTTTTCATTCTTTTTTTATTTGAAGATTTTTTTTTTTTTTTTTTTTCAAATTATATAATTTTCATCATTCGAAATTTAAAAGCAATTTGAACAAATATATTCTTAAGGGATATTTCTCATCTGTTTCAGCTTGATATTTTGTGTATTTAAAACAAAGATTAATTCGTTTTATACTACTTTCCATTTCACATATTGGGTGTATCGATTAATTTTAAAGGATTTTTGTGTGAAAAGATACATTTATTTAAAAACAACTGTACAATATTTTTTAACCAATGTATTGCCCATCGTTGGCTATGACTTCCGCCCATCTTCTTGGTAGCTTGTCGATTCCGCGTCGAAAGAATTCCTCATCTTTTGAAGCTATCCATTCATCGATCCAATTTCGCGCTTTTTCATAATTTTGAATGTGTTCATCGAACAGGCTGATTTTCATCGATCGGAACAAGTGGCAATCAGAAGGAGCCAGGTCTGGAGAGTACGCGGGTTGATCAAGCTCATCCCGACCAAAGTCCCCTATCTTTTTTTTGCGATGTTTGAAATATGTCAAATTTTGATAAATCCTTCGACTATTTCTTGTCGCAGTTTTTTTCAATTTTTCTCTCAGTACTCCGCTCAAACGTATTGGTTGTAATCGAAGCCGATCCCCCGTGACTGTTTCACCCTGTTTCAGCAGCTCATTATACACCAAACCACCTTATCCCCACCAAATAATGAGCATTACCGAGAAATCATCAAAATCCTGCTATGCTGTAGATTTTGATGATTGTGTGGGATTGAACCCTTATTTTTATGCCTGGGGTTATCGTAGCAGATGCCCTCTTCACTTCCAGTTACAATACGATACAAAAATTCCTTTCTTTCTTATTTTTGGAACATTGTGCCAAAATGTGAAAAAACATCTAACAACTAGTTTTGGATTCAGCTGGTGTGGCACACAATTTCTTTGGTCTTATCTCATTACAAATGTCTTAAAACGATTGATTCGCATATATTTAATGCTTCTGATGTTTTTCTGATGCATTTTCATGCATCTTTATCGAATAAAAAACGCCAATAGCCCAACATTCAATTTTTTTGGTGATTTCACAGTTTTTCAACAAATTCACCACTTCTTTCTCACCAAATTCAACATTCTCTGTGGCGATTGAGAGTTCTCGTCTCCTGCAACATTTTATAACCTTTAGATGTATTTTCACTTTATTTAAAGTGAAAAAATTGAACCAAAGGAGGGCCAGACAGAAAAACACTTTTTCATCACTCATTTTGAATCGATCAGAAAATAATGACACTGTGTCAAAAATAAATCTTTCTGCTCTGAATTAGATTGGCAAATGTCACATGTACAAAATGCAATGGGATTCACCTGTCAAGCTACACACAATTTCAAGTTACGCCATCTCTTATCAATCCTTTAAAATTAATCGATACACCCAATACATCATTTCCTTTGTAAAATAAATACAAAAAGTAAAATAAATGTAAAACATTCAGTTTTGTCAATCAAAGTTTTTTTTTTTAAATACAATAAAACACCATCATTTTGAGTCTGCAAATAAGACATTTAATGTCAGTCAAATTCTATATGCATTTCGGACAGTTTATTAAAATAAACTTTATTTTCATCGGTAACACTGCAAAAATATAAAGAAATTTAATATTTAAACAACTCCAATTCTGTTCAAACGAGGAATTGTTTTGGGCGGCTCTATTTGAGCTCCAATAGAAACATATGTTGGTTTCATTAGTTCTATTACCGTAAGGAACTGATGACATGTATTTTTATTGGTCAACTAAAAATATTGATGTTTTATTTTTAAAATAAGTTTAAATTAATGTTTAAATATTTTAATTACCTCATGACATTTTCGACGCAATAATTGCTTCAATTCGTGATTCATCCAATAAATGAAGTTATAAATTGCATTTGTTCACGTTATACAAAGTGCAAAAAACATGTTATTTTAACAAAGTAATGAAAAAACCAATGTTCAATTTACGTGATTTTCATGCCGACTTTTTATTCATATATTTTTAGACATTCATATTTACATTAGATTATTGTTATACTAAATGGTTTTTTAGTTGCAGTTGTATCGGTTTTTGATTCACTTTTTTTCACGGCTAAAATTAAACCCATTAAACGAATTTCATGTTTTGTTATTTTTTCATATATAGTTCGAATTGATTTTTTTCTCTAAAATTTCAACACAAACAATTAAGATCATTACATAACAAGATTCTATACGAAAACTGCATCATTAATATATTTACTTTGATTGATTCGTTTGCAGTTCGACTAATATGTAAGGAAATTAATGGTATAAATTTAAGCGACGTTTTTTTTATTGATAATTTCTGTGTAATTCAAATAATCTGTCATGCTAATAGTTTTTTTTTTCAAGCTCGCATTGTTGAGATAAATGTAAAAAGGAAAAAAAAACGGAATCCAGTGAAGAAAAAAAATCCAACTCTTTTTTTGTATATGTATGTGTGTGTGTGAGAGTAAAGCTGTAATTTTCATGTGAAGTGAACTATTTGAATACTCCAACCATTTCTATGGCTTCAATTTTATTATGTAAATCGCCCTGATGGAATGTATTATTTTCTCAAACCGTCGGCCATTCATCTGGATATATACGAATATTCGTTATGTAACAGGTGTACGTATGCAAATTTTTACCAGACCAAAAATACCTGGTTCATCCCACACCTTAACCAGACATTTCAGAGCAGGGAACATAGCTCAATTATTCCGTTCTGCAATCGATAAGCGTAAAATATTCAATTTTTCATGAGGAAATATTGCGATTGTATTTTAAAGATAACCTGAAAGAAATTTTATATGCGCTATTTTCTGCGGTAAATGCATGTGAGAGTAGGGGAGCAAATATAAAAGTTCCCGTGTGTTTTTTTGTTGTTTTGAAACATTTAAATGATTGACTTCAATTTCGGTTCATTCATGATTGAGAAGACATTAACTCCATCATTGTGTTGGCCGTTTCGAATAATTATACGCTTTTTCACGAATGCAAATTGGCTACTTCGTCTGAATATTTTACAATGATGTTTCATGTTGTGGCCAATGGTCGTTTGCGCTTAGTTTCCAACTGAAGTGAGAACATTGCTGATGTATAAGTGCTGGAATATTGTTTAAATATTTATACATATGTATATTTGAGTTTGAATTTTGCATATTTTTCCAAAATGAGTTTTATGGTGTATATGGTATGGTAAAATGTATACGTATGTGTTCGCAAAGAGCATAAGGAAAGCAAGCCCATTCAATTGTAATTTGGTGCAGTAGAGCGATGTTGTTTATTATGTTTGATCATCGAACCTCTTGTAATTTTAGTGCAAATGCATTCGAATTGAAAACCATGACTGACTTATTATTTCAATATATGAATGGAATAAGTTTTAAATGCGTTTCTCTCGTTGGCTTTCTTTCTGTTTTTCTCTTTCTCTGTCGCTCTCTGTATCTGTGTATATATGTGCTTATTTATTCTGTGGTATAGTTTTATTCAAATTCGTTGCATCAATTGCATGTTTTTTTTTATTCGTATTATTTGAGTATACATCTATGTCTTTGGTTATGTGATGTGTTGGAAATGAATTTCCATGCGAAACCGATATCAAACTCTTTGGTTGCATGCTTCCGGATTAGACGATAAAATCATTTAATAAATAATCATTAAAATAGACACATTTGACCTTTCACTCACAAGAATTTTTAAGACAAAAAATGAAATCAACATGACATATATACGTTATATCTAACTTTTAAAAATCTTCAAACATCTCACAAAACTGGTCCATTATCATAAAATTGAATCTATGTCGAAAATTTCGAATCGTTTCTATTTTTCGCCTCTCTTACAAACAATAAGCTAGTACAGTTGTCCATATATATATTGTTCAAATCAAACTCTTGAGTCTGTCCACGATTCAATGGTGCAATAATTACCACATTACCTAATCTAAAATGATTCGAAACGGAATTCTTGCATTGTTAGAGACATTTTCATTTGCTGTATTATTTACAATCTCGTTATATGAGTAGTAGTGTCACGACCGCATTAACATTTTATTAACCTATTGATTTTTGTTTGGTATTTTTTTTCGGAAAGTTTAAATTTTCATTCCCAAAAGCCACAATCCAATTCGTGTGTTTGCAATTTTGACATCGTGTTCACTTAAAAAATGTGGGACATGAAGAAAAAACCGAAGCACGAACGAAAATCAAAGCATAAATTCAAAAACATTGAAAGAAAAATGGCAATCAAAACGCACATTCATAAACTAAATACATTAAAGCGCTAGAAGAAAAGTTACCGTTGAAAATCAAAAGTAGATATTAAAAATTAGCAACGGAAAAAAAGTAACTTTCAGAGATCAAACTTTCTAAATTGAACTGAATCAACGTCAACGTGTTCGATGTTTGCACACTTTTTTTTGCGATTCATTGAAATGAATGCGAAATCAAAAGTCGGCATCCAATGGGTCACAATTTGATTGATGACCAAAAGAGCTGAATTGAGCAGTCAAGTGGAAATTATTATTCGTAAAAACGAAACCAAGATTGATTGCTGACATTTTCCATTCTATTGACAAAAGAGAGAAAGAGATAGAGCAAGAGAGATTGCGTTGGAATGCAATTGATATAAATTGAATCAATCGGAAGTAAATCCATTTGTCGAACGTTTTTTTTTTCATTCACCGACTTATAATGAACTACTATGCATTATCGATGATGTTGTTAAACGAATGTTCTTCTATATGGAGTTGGTGCCATAATTGGTGCCAAAAACATTATTTTTTGAAAAAAAAAAATGAAATAAAGTTCAATAAATTGTCTGGTTTTATCGATATAGAGAATCGAGAGCAAATTGCTATACAATGTTAATCAGTATATTACATAAACGACAATGTAACAGAAAGCAAGGCCATTAGAAATAATTTCTATGTATAAACGTTGCGGTCCTTGGCATTGTGCAAATTAAATACTGATTCAGCCCATACAGCTCGCACTCGTTGTGAGAATACAGCGACAACATAAATTACGTGAAACTCGATTACTTTTTTGTGTTTTTCGTTCTGCATAAGTTAATTACTGTCATCGTATCGATCGGGTTCTAGGGGATGGAAACCATTAGCTAATTTTTTATAGTCCATGTAAAAACTAGAAAAATTAAATTGTTTTGCCATTTTGATTTTGTGTCATCAATATGTCATTCAATGACCAAATAAATAGAAACTTAGCATTGGTGTCTCTCCCCTAGATCGGGTTTGTTGCGAATTTGCAACGTCATTGTAAGTAGAAAATAATTCAACTAGATTTTTTTTTTCGCACAAGAATCGGTGATATTTTTTTAATGTCTTTGAATCACCACCACCAAAAATAACAAAATCAATAATTTCTCGATGGAATTATGTGCGATATGGTAACATATGGCCAAACAATCATCGAACCATTTGATATGATGGAAAGCAAATGTGTATGTTGTCTTTCGCATTGTAGTATCTTTGAAATGACGTTGATGTGTTCTACATGAGCTTTTGAATGTGTGTCAAGGTCAACAAGGTTACCCAGCTAATTATTTATTATGTATGTGGCCTAATTTGTGGCCTCTTTTCCGCCCAAACTCCAAACATCGCTCTCATCGTTTGCTATGCACTCACATTTATGTATAACATTTCTTTTTTGTCTGTGTCATTTAATTAATCAAATGCCTTGTAAATAACATCCTGATTTCGTTCTTTCTGGATGAGAACTCTCATCGGATCGATTGAATTTTGTGTTGCACATAATATCAACAACAGCAATTGGATTTCGTTATGAAATGACATTTTGCAGCATTAAAGCGATTTTATAACAAGGACACGGTGAGTTTTTTTGCTTCGTTTTTTGTTGCTCTATTTCTCGCTTTCTCTATCGTCATTCGCCTTACCCTGACCGAATAGATGGAATACGGGTTTGGTTGGTTAGCGACGTTCATATATTTGCTATGTAAATTGTAGACAAATGCAAACAAATAAAACCTTATACATTTGAACTTTACACAGCAAAAAGCCTAAAATCAATTTGATATTCTGAAAATCATAGAAACAAAAACTTGACTGCAAAGAATGTAGAACAAAAAAAAATCATAAGAAAAAAACAAAATGAAAATATAATTTTTGCACGGATTTGTTCACATTGTTTAATAGGTTTTTTCTGTTGCCCATCGTAATTTAAGTGTAATTAATATTAGAACATTAAAATTATTATGTTTTGTCTTCTATATATGTACAAAGTTCATTTTTCAGCTATTCTACAAAAGTGAAACGTGAAAGCAAAGTCAAAAGTAAAAGGCCACCCTCTTCTTTCGAATTATTATATAAAAACTGCGAATTAAGAATAAGCACTGCAAGATTCATCAGCTCATTTTAAAAAAAGAGGGTGGCTTTTATTAACGACCTTACAAATATCGGTGTTTTCTTTCATTTTCTTTAAACCACTGTCTAAGCTTTTATTTTGTTATTCGATGCACCATTTATTCAATCGTTCTCTGACGTTATTGCATATTCAACCAGTGGTATGTATGTGTGTGTGTGTTGGGCCGTAGTATGTCATTATTGTTGTGTGTAAATATAGATTTTTTAGTAGTATTTTGACATCAAACAACTAAGAATGAAGAATTATGGGAATTTTTTTATCGGCGAAAGCGAATAAAGTGAATGTGAGAACATTGCGCGAAATTTAGAAATATAACTGCATTTTAGACACAAGAATTCAACAATTATATCGAATTAGCTATTAAATTTACACATTATACAAGTTATCGTCTATAGTCGCTACAATTTATTTCATACTTCAGTTGTTTTTTGTCTATGGTTTGTTTTTTTTTTCGTCTTTTTTTGTCAGTTTTGCGCTTGTGTTCATTTTCAATAAACTAAACCTTGAGAGTCTTGAATGTGTTATACTTTATCCCCTCAATATCTAGCTCATTTGTTTTTTTAAAATTGGTTTTTATTTTAGTTAAATCGAATTCAAAGTATTATAAGAAGAATCTATAACATTAAGTAGTGATCTTTTTGTTTGTTGCTTATCAATAAAGATATTACGAAAGGGTGTTACAAGATGCAGCACGTCGCCGCACAACATCTCCTAGAACCGCTCTTACTTTTTTGCCGTTGGTCTGAAACGAGACGAAAAAAAAGAGAAAAAAAAAACGTTTCCGTCATTATCCAATTTCTATTTTCATTTGCACGATAAACGTCGAGCGTTTGTTTTGAACCAAAAACTGACTCAGAAATGACACATTTTTTTTTATATCTCAACGAACTTTGTACGAACTATTTTTTCATACAGAATCTATATTGAAAACAAAACGTTTTCTTTTGTGTGTGCATAATCAGTAGTTCGTGATAAAATTTGCTTTTATGTTTTGCACGTGTTTTCGTGCACACAGCGAAACGAATAGATTCGTTTGAGATGAGCACATGCTCATAATATTTACCTTGAGAGTTTGGCTCTGGTAGATTATCACGCGGTACCAAATGCATGACCGTTGTTTTTCCCAATGGTAGAACTAGTGCACCCAGCGTCACGTTACAATGTAAAAATCTTCCTTGATATATTAAACGTAGAACTTCTGCTTTTGGTACGGCTTCAGCTGCCCAATCTATTGAAAAATATGAACAATTTAAGGGATTTAGTGCAAACATTCAGTTTTCCGGAACAAATAGAGCAAATAAAAATCATTGTGCAAATAGATATATAATCGATTTATATGCTCAAATGAAATTTACCTTCAGGCCAATTATCGAATACTGTTTGTGCAATATCTCCAGCTGAATCAGATGGGCTGAATAGAAATTCCTTTGTTTTTCCGCTCACGAGAATCAATCGCAAGTTTATCTGCAAGAGAGAAAAAGAAAAAAATGAGAGTGCGGGAAAAAACAGCAAATTAAGTACGGCTGAATAAACTAAAGTCATCTGACACGAGCGAAAATAGAAATTCGTTTTAAACTCGAACTTTTTCCGATACGACATGAGCAATTGATGAAATTTAATAATATTGTAATTAAAAGTCGATTTACTTAGTACTTCGAAAGAAATTGATTGTGGTTTTGATTTGATTGCAAAACGGGGTGCCCATTCATTTTTCTATTAGACATAGTCAGTAAATCGATGTGAGAATATATGCTCGCTATCGGGCAAACTAACTTTCCATCGATTATATGAAACAAAAAAAAAAGAAACAAACATACACGCAGAGCTTATCAATAAATTTGCCAATTTGTTGGACGTTTCCGCTTGGAAGTGAAAGAAGAAAAAATCGTATTACGCCATTGAAAATGCGCACTTCACTTCAAAAACCAATTCAAATCATTCCAACTTTCTTCAATATTTTCGCGTGAATTTCGATTTTCCTCATCGTTTTCATTTCACAGCAGCAGCAGCAGCAGAAAACTTCGACCGTATTATTCGTCATAAGTAATAATTCCAATTTAAACTTCGGTATTTTGCTTTTTAGCAAATCGTATGTATGATCAAATAAGCACCACATATATCCTATTTGGTCGGCATGAACGAACAAAAGAATTGAATGGCACGATAAAAATGTGACGTCGGGATGTTTGACGTTGTTTTTTTTTTTCGTGTGCACGATAGTCGACAATCGAATGGAATGAAATGAAAATCATACAAAAATCGAATTGGAAGTTGCATAAAGGAAGGCGAATCATCATGGAGCCGAATGTAAACCGTGGTATTCAATAAATAAATCATTTCATTAAAATCCAACCGGAAGCCAGCTTACGCTTGAACGGCACACATAAGTTGTACTTGTGCCGGAGCGTAATAAATGTGCATCATCACATATTTAAACGTTTTGTTATGTTCATTCGGTGTGTGTTCTTTTTTCTTTCTTTCTGTCTTTCTTGTTTTTCGGTAAGTCCTCTCTTCCTCTCTCACTCTGATAATTCTCACAATGCAAGCAGCATTGCTGCACGATATAAATGGCAAATAGTAATGATAGAATTTATATTGCATGTATGCAATGCACACGCGAATATGTGTGAGCTCTTGTATTCTAATGCATTCGATAGTGCTGTAACAGCACAGGACATGAACGAACATGATACGACAAAATCGCGCCCGACACCGACTGCATTCTGTTCGAACAACGCAACACACAGTTTACACTTTTCGTGGTCAGTGATATATTCACTTTTTATAGGAGTGGTTGCTCAAGTATATCACGGTTGCTTCGATGATTATTAACTTTTATTACCAATTCAGGCCATTTGTTTCGATTTCGGCGCTACCTCAAACCTTCGACTCATTTTGCTAACTATCATGAAATATTTGACACTTTATCCATATTTTATATGACTGACGACTATTTTTTTGCTCTATTTTCGTTGTTTCACTGCGTCATGCTCTCCATCGTGGTTGAATCATTGACATAGAGGGTAAAATCATATTTGATGTAGGCGACCCGCCTATAATTTATTGACTGTAATCCATTCATCGCACTAAAAACTTTTCAGCAATCTTGTTGGAAATGTATATCATCAAGAATAAAGTATAAATGCGTCATCACGTTGTCACATCTTTGTCATACAATGTTATATATTATTATGTTTTATGTCACACATCAGTCATTGTGGGTTGACCATGTTTTTGGCATACTTTGAACATTCACTCATCTCTCTCTCTCTCTCTCTCTCTCTCTCTCTCCTCTCTTTGCACGTCTTCCTTTCACACTTTTATGGAGTATGGCGTAATTTTCTTCAAGCAAATCTTACATCCATTTCTTTCATACGTCTGTTTATGGATTGTGACCTCTTTCTTGTATGATCTCAAGTGCTTTGATTCGCACAAAGAACACTCCACAAGCGGAAAATAGAACGATAAAATGCAGAACTCGGTCAACGATTTGATTCTTAGAATGGTAAAAAGCCTGCTTTGTGATGCATATTTTATCAGCCCCGTATGTACACAATTTTACAACTTTATACATATTATTAACCACGTTACTATCTAAACTGAAATGTTCTCTATTCCAAACATCATATAGACCAACCAATTGAATATTGACTTGGGAAAGTTCGTGTTATGCGTCTGTATATGAATGTATATCCAAAATGTTATTGCCAAAGTTTAAATTGGAATAAGCATATAATGAAAAACGAAAACTTTTAAACATATTTCGTCTAACGAACATTTTATATGTTACAAATTAGAAGGAGTTATGATATAAGTTTTCTTTGGCGCTGTATCTATGTTCACACTTAGAATTACGGTTACATGACCGACAAAAATAAATCATTTTAATTTCACCATAATAAAAAAAAAAACATTAAGTGTACGGTCGAATCTAATTTTCATGTAAAATTATAGATTCGACTTTTAATTAGTTGTTTCACATAACTTTTCAACACAAACAAAATTATATTCGGAAGGCCGAATCGAGCCTGAAAGACATTGAATATTGAATCAACAATCAATTAAACGTCTACTTTAGTTAGATTGACATACCACACAATGTTATTATTGATTTTCGTTCTATAAATAAGCGGAAACGATAAAAGTGATTTTTCTAGTGTTTTCTTAATGTATTTGATAAAATAGAAAAAAAAATGTGTATAAAAAAGCTAAATAATATTAGATGAAGGTAGTGATGGTTTTCATTTCGTTCTGAAAACAGTTCATGTACCATTGGGACTCAATACAAATCATCATAAAAATAATCCCAAATGTAATAAATTATCTGACGACGATAATGTATCAGACATCATATCGCAACGCTGATAACAAATGCCGACGAATGATATGTTCGGTAATTATCGGATATATAAAAAATGGCCATGATAACAAAATATCAAAGTGTATTGACCAGGTTGCTATTGAAGAAAGCGTTTGTTCTTCGGCTTCATATCGCATAGTTTCATGAAACCAACTAAACTTCCAATTATTATCGTTTTATAACTCCCACCGGCCAAATTAGTAGATTTCCATTTACCTATCGTACATACAGCTATTGAAAAAAACATCAATTTCTTCAATAGCATGTTCTAATACGAAGAGACAAATAATAATTAGCAAAAAAATTATTATGTACTTTGCTTACTCATTTTTACGATTGGAGCAGAGTCATTTGTTCAATAACATATAGAAAAATAAACGAATCAGGTTGTTAAGTAAATATCATTACGATATAATTTTAAGCACGCCTATCACAAAAAAAAGAAGATAAATAAGTACGGAAAGGAGTCGAATGTACTCAACGATGAGAGCAACAACACGAACGCGAGTGTTCTTTGTGTCAACAACATTTTTTTTCTTTCAAAATCTTATATGTTTAATGTTAGTAAGTGTTGTTGTAAAAAAAATACGGGCCTTGCATCAACCTAATCATGCATTTGAATGGTTGCATTTATGTTGACGAGAACAATAAGAAAAAACTGCACTGAATCGTCATGTACGACGTTGAAATTGTTGAGAAAGTATTGTTTTTGTTTTTCATGTTTTGAAAGAATGTATGTTAATTTCATTGTTTCTCATTGTCGAAGTCTATTATTGACTGAAACGTCTCGTCTAAAACGTCATACTTTATTTTTGTCAACTGAATTCATCGCTCTCTTTTTTATCGGCCGATTACTCTGAGTTAATTTGTATATAATTTCGATATACAAAAATTAGTCTGAAATATGATTTGCCTAATTGGGCTTTTATCTGTGCGCCAGACGGTAAAATTGAATATGATAATTGCATAAAAAAATTGTACATTGGTTTTTACCTTATCAGCAGGTATATTTCTCGAAGACATGGTGATGATGATGGTGTTCGGATTATTGTTGTTTGCTTTTCTTCACGATACAATCTTCTTTTCACCCAAAATGCACTTGAAAATCGTCAATGCAATCGAATCACAGTGAAAACGAAAAAGTCGGAGAATTAGAAAAAATTATCTCGAACCGAATCAACAGACGAAAATGGTAAAAGTGTGTTATTTTTGTGCTCTCTTTTTTGTTGTTTTGTTCTTTTATGAGTTTTGATTCCAAGAATATTTTATCGAAAGGTTACTCGGCGCAGCCAAAATTATTTTAAATGTTGTTAATGTGCTATGCAGCCTGTGTGTGTATTGAAGATATATGTTTTTATTGTGGATTTGGGGTAGATGAATCGTTCGAATGTCACGAATATCCGTATTAATGTTTGGTTTTGTTCGAAGTCAGGCAGTAATTTACTCTCATTTGTGTGTCACAAACTCCGTCTGGGTGAGTGTATTACTAATGCGCTTCTTTCGTTTCCGATTCACCGAATGCGTTGGAACACATAGGCGTCGACACAGCGTCGTTTCTAGGCTCTTTTTTTCGAACTCTATGTTTTTTTTTTTCTTCTCCTATCTTCGATATATGACGTCGGTCTTATACCATCAAGCGCTCGTTATCCTGTAGCAATTTATTTATGATGTTCGTTTCTTATAAAATTTGGAAGTGTGTTCTTTTCTCTCCCTCTGTCTCTATGCCCAGCACTCTTGTTTTTTTAAAGAACACATTAAAGAAAAAAGAAGCATCAACATGAATCGACTATCGGTGTCTATCTCTTGTGTTTCTATTTTTCTCGGTTTTCCTTTTCTCGGTAAATTCGTAGCAATAGTTTTTGTTCTTCTGTCGGCAGCTGAGAATTTCTAACTCACCACCCTCGTATCGAATGCACTCACAAAAATGTAGACAACGTGTGAGTGTGTGTGTCGTTGTATGTGCAATATCCTTCTGAGTGCAATAGAAAATATGCACCCTGCTAGCCGTTTGTCATAAGTGTTTATGTCAATTTTTCACGCATCACTAAATTTTTTACTGGGCTATATGTCTTCAAAAGTTCATCCACTACCCACACATACACTCAAAACTGTGATTATGTACGCCAAATGGAGTAAAATATGATTTTGTCCAATTGCTTGGAAGCAACTAGAAAACACGAAACATGAATCAACTGTACGCTTTCTCTGTCGTTTTTGTTTTCTTTTCCTCGGTGAGTATTTTTCTCGCCAATTTCCTGTTCGGTTTTTATAGAAAATCGTTTCAAAATTAGAGTCGTCGCAATTTGCTCAAAAGACGCATGAGAACAAATTTACACTGTAATGCAATTTAAACTCCCCGATGGCAGCGCAAATTGTAACGAACACAATGGATTTTCAGTTTGTTGTCTTTTTTGTTGTTATTGTTTCTGATTCAATTCACATAACACAATGATCGAGTCACATAAAACTTATTTTTTTTTTTAATTCTGGCAGTTTTTTTAGTTTTTATAGCCTCGGTTCATTTGATCCATTTTCATATTTTTTTCACTATTTTTGGTGATTTGCTGATGGTTTTTTTTGGGTTTGCGTTAAGTATTCTGCCCTTTCCGGAGTATGTATTGAAATGTTCACTCTGAGATCTGAAACAAATTAAAAAAACATTCGAAATTATAAAAATGTGCTCAAACTATATTCGTTATAAACTATGTTTATTCTTCGCGTTGGCTTCGGTTGATGAAAGCACGTCAGTGTGATAGAAAACCGAAAATTACGACGTTGTTTTTTTTCCATTTCTTGAATCGACATTAGGCAAACGTAACTAATTTCATTGGCATACAAAAAGGTATCGCAAAGATCACGAGACCGAAATTACCTAACTGAATGTGAGAAAAAAAAAATACATCGAAATGAATGAAATGAGTGCTTTAAATGAGGTGAAATGAAAATGTGGAGCCATAATGAAGATATGAAGATTCGCATAGTTTCGTAACACACATTTTCTCTTTATAGCTTGGTTGAGGTGAATGTGGCGCAATTTTGTATTTTAGATTTATTTCATGAAATGAACACAAGAAAAAAATACTGTTTCACGCACCATAAGTACACTTATTTGCTTATGATGAATTTGATGGCGCTCAGAGAGTATGTTGAATTAAAACAAACAAAACAGCACATAATTCAAATCACCTGCGACGAGCAAAATGTACAATGAAAATGAACAGAATGTATACACCAAAAAGAGGTGAAAAGAATAATACACCAGCGACTGTTCATTTTGATATGTGTATTTTATGCGAAATTTTAGATGGGGAGAGGGATAAAAAAAGCGAATTAAAATTGACACGCACAAGCGAGTTGGCTGGCATGCAGGCAGCACAAGCATCATATGCCGCGACAGACCGAATGAATGAATTATTGTATGATTTATAGATCAAAACAATGCAAACAATAGCCAAAGTCCATTGAATGAATATTGACGAAGGTGCATTAATGTAATAACAAAAACTCCACCACCAAAAATAGCATATGTGAATTCAACGAATTTAATGGCATGTATCGGTTGTATAGCCAGTGAATAGAGTACCGGTTGCCAGTTAGGAGCCATAGAATTGAAACGATAAATGAGTAGATCTTTCGACTAAAGTTTTGTGATTGGGCATATGCTTATTTCCTAGCAGATCTGTGTTCGTTTCAATCATAAACACTTCTACAAAAACAACATCAAAAGCGGAGCCATATTTATTCGTTATTATTAAACATTAAATTTGAGGTTTGTAATGAATGTGCTTTTCCTAGGTGTTTTTGTTTTCTTCTTTCTCTTTTGCTTCATCTCTCGCTTTCCTTCGTTTAATTTGCGCTCTATAGGCCGTTGAGTTTAATGTGTCTATTGTTAGATTGTTGCATGGTCTCTCAATTCCATATCGCGCAACAAATCTATACGTTCAGGGTGATCAAAAACATGTTTAATTTAATTACTCATGTAATAGGAATTGAGTTAAAGTTAGTTTTGCTTCCACTAGTAGTGGACCACTACGGATAGTGTAAATTGATGACGGAACGCATCAGACATTTTATAAGCAATAAATATCAACTTTGCATACGAATAATAACAGTCATTCTCATATCTTACTCGCTCAACTGATGACACGTTCGACTGGTATATTGTTTGAAATGGTTATAATAATTGCTCTCTGACCACATCTTGGGAGTAAATCGAAGTCAAACGAGCATCTTAAAATTGAGATTCAGCCACATTTAGATCAATATCTACGAAACTTTCGAATGAATATGTTTTCGTGTGACTCTTACTAACAAATATTTTTCAATTAAATTTCTCTCGCTCTCTCTCCAGTGACGCCTTAATGCGTACATTTTGAAGTGAATTTAATGAAGAATTCACAGCGCATCTTTGTATACAAACAGAAACTGTATGAATTGTCCATTTTCGATTCGTTGAACGCCTACAATGAATGAAACATTGAAATCAATATCATTGAGTTTCTACTGACTGTATCTTTATTTTTGCTTCACAGCTGAGCTGCTGAGCAACGAGAATTTAAACAGTTCTTTTGCTGTCTGGGCAAATGAAACACGGAAAATGACTGAAATCCAATTTACTGCAAACGCGAAGTCATAACAAACAAGATTCAAACACACACACACACAATCAGCCACATTAATTACAGTCTTCTTGTTTGCATATTTCTAGTTGCTGGTGCTGCGTTTGCTGCTTCTCGCTGTTTATTCATTATTCTTATTATTTAATATATTTTTTTGTTTGTGTTAAAATGTAAACTGCACGATTTGCGATAGCTCTTCTGCCGCACACGTACACATTTTCAATGTGAGAAAATAAAGTTCAAATTCAGATGATAGTTTGGTGTTTTGATGCGTTGTTAATTGATCGACCGTGTAAAAAAAGTGGGAACGAGAGAAAATATACTTGGCACAAATTTTCTCTGACTGAACGTTTAATTATAATTGTACATCGCATCTGTACGAGTATTCCCCGTTTCATTCACTCATTTGCAACACTTCAATTTGAATGTGCGTTTTTCTTCGACAAATTTTCGTTTTCTTTTTATTTTTAATGCTGGATGTCATTTGAAAAAAAAAATGAGAACACGAGCGAAAGGGATAAAACGTTTCAGTCTCATGTTTGTCATTCTAAAATTACTATAACCTTTTTTTTGCTGCTCTGTACCACACAAACCTGCTACAAAAATAAACTAGCAAAGCTGCTAAAGTGATTGAAACGATACAATGAGTAAACAAAACATTATGCAACTCTGCACAATACGAATTCGAATCGATTTGAATAACGTTGAGCAAACACTCTGGCAAAAGCCATTGATTGGCTCGAGATACAGAGAAAAGCCCTTTTGTTTTGATAAAAGCAATAATCATTTAAATATCGAAATGGAACGAATGAATTTTTGAAAAAAAAAAAAAAAAAAAAAATTCATGAAACAGAATTGGAGAACTAATTGACTCAATCATAAAATATACAGATGTTTTGTCATAAAAATGTAGATAACATGAGAATTGTGAAAACAACACCAACAACAACAACACACATTTTCATGACGTTTTTCTCTCGTTCTGAACTTGTTGTGTGTCTTATGGAAGTCACTCATTTTTTCGCTTCTTGTCATTGGCTTTGTTATTTTCAGACTGGTGCCAATATTGTTCGTGTGAATCTAAAATAAGTTGCGTGTTTGACTGCATTGAATTTATAAATTTTCATTCGTTCCGTCTACATTTTTTTCTCTTTTTCATTCGAATTCGCGTTTCATTCATTTTTATTTCTGTCGAAGGGCCACTATAACACATACTTCATTTGTCGCATTTTCGATTTTATTCGCTGTACATTTCATTTCTTTAACTCGATTTGTAGATAGTATTTGAAACACTCCTCTTTTGGAAATAAATCACATTTTATTTGATTTTATTTCAAAGAACCCAACAGAAACGACATAAAGAAATAGGAAAAAAACCTGACTCCAATTTTCACTGAGACGTATAAAATCAAACGCAAAGAGACCATCAGATGGATGGGTCACACTGGTAATAGGATAACTCAACACAAGAAAAACATTCTGTTTTTTTTTTCAACTTTCAATATAAAAATTCATTTTATATTCACCTTTTATATTGTGATTTCGAAATGAGTCTGATTTTGTTTGTTTCACTTTTTTATTGGGACCAAAAAAAATATTTCTTTTTTCTTTACATCGAATATACGCAAATACACACGACCAACTGATGAACGGTGATGATGACGACGACTGCGAGAAATTTGTATTTATTTTCTATTCCACTGCCATAACTCTTTGGCTTCAAAAACTAAATCGAACGCACACATGCAGACACACAAAGAGAGTCCACATACAACGCCACACATTTGTGCTGTCTATTGCTTCGAATGCTTTGCTGCTGCTGCTATGTATTCGACGTTGTTAGTGCAAACAATGAGGGCGATATATGGTACACAAAAATTGTGTGTATTCATATATCCATATTCACTGACTAACGCGCGCACACATCACCACATCAAGTTACATACGCCACACACTAGTACAAATGACAAACAAAGATACACACTAACACCACTGACGCCATTCGTGTATCTATGTATATCTATCATAAAGAATACACGGATCTATTGGTTTTTGTTATGTTGTTGCGTGTGTGCGAACGATATGATTACGTCGTTCCATGCAATGTTTCGTTTGTACTTGCGTTTTCTGTTTTGACCTGATTCTTTGTTATTGTATGGGTGGTATCTGATATTTTTGTGTGGTGAATTTGTTGCACATATATGAGGTTTGACGTGGGTATCTAAATGTGCAGCGTGCACATCATTTGGATGTACATCAAATTCAGTCATTTTATTCAACATATTCGTTGAACCGTTTAAATTGTGCTTGACATAAAACCTGAAAAAAGTATTTAAGTTTTTAAAGGGAAAATGTCAAATATATCTAAAAAATGTTAAATGTCATATCTTTTAAAATAAACATAAACAAATATAAAACCTTTGCTTCTAAAACAAAATATGTATTGTATTGGTTGGTACAACGCCATCTGTGTTTGCTCAGCACAATGACACTATGCTGACTATACTGAAAAAAGCACATTTGACAAATGTCACTATGTTGAACCAAGGTATGCTTCAAGAATAAAATTGCGTATTGTTTACTTGAAGTACTTGGATCGAAGTCGTTTATATTGTACCGTTTGTCCATAAAATCGATTAAAATTAAGTTTTTTGTTTGTTGGTGTTCTTCATAAGTAAATTGTTCAAAATGTCTAAACAGAAATGGCCAATCCAACCGAATAAGTTATGCGTTGGAGGATTTTCACCAAACCTTTCCGATTCTGATCTTCGTGCGTTTTGTGAAGAATTTGGAACCTTTGTACTTTTGTACAGAACACAATGTAAGACACAGGTATTTCTTACCTACTTAAATGAAACAGCTGCCGCAATTGCTCTGCAAAAATTCCGTGACAAAGTGGTTCGCGCTAATTATGCATATGACAAGCGAAACGCAAACTCGAATGGCTCGAGTTCATCGAAAGAATCACCGGCCGCAATTAAATCAAATGGTGTCCATTTTCCATTTGAAGACGCCAAAGAGAATTCAAACGGCATCAAAAAAAATTCTAATGGCGTCAAAGAGAATTCAAATCAAAAATCAAAGGGTATTACGTTCAGAAGCGGCGAGGAAGTAATTATAACTCACGTGAAGGGTACAAGTGAATTTTATGCACGCCCCAAAGCAATGGATAATGAGTATAAGAGTTTGATTAAAATGGTTGCAGAATCGGTAAAAACTGCTGAACGATTAAATCATTTTCCAATCAAGCGTGAATGGGTGTTGGCACCGTATGAAGCTGATTTTCGCCGAGGAATCATGCAAAACGACGTCAAAAATAAAAATGAACTTGCCGTCGTATATTTGCTCGACTATGGAGTGACAATTGAGGTGCCTTGTGAAAAGTTGAGAGTATGCCCAAAGGATCTCAATATTCCACGACTTACATACAAGTTTCATTTGGATGGCTGTACATTCGACACCAACAATTTCTATGCGGAACAATGTTTTAAGACATTGATTGGAGCAACATTCAAAATGGAGCACGATAAACCGAGCATTGAACAAAGAACACACGTCCGACTGATTGATACGGAAACATTTCAAAGCATCAATGATTTGATTAAACAAATGCAAGCACCCAAATTTACCGTTAAACAGATAGTGTTTAACTCGCCACCCGTTGGCACCAACAAGTCCGTTGTTGTTATCGACTCAACAAAACTCACAGAGAATCGTGATAATCTCATCACATTATGCGATAAAAAAATGCAACTGCAATACTATAGGCAACGAAATCGGATTAATGACGTTGCAAAAATCTTCGAACGATTTCCGGAGTACATGCCCACCGTTGATGAGCTGTGCATGGTAAAATTTAATAATTACTGGTATCGTGCACTATTTGTGGAAAAATATTATAAAACTGCACAAGTATTGCTTTTGGACATTCAAAAAGGTGTAGAGGTTCCGTTGAAGAATATTCGAAAAATTATAAACGATTTTGTGGCAATGCCCATTTTGACGTTCACGGTCATGGTATGTGGCCAAGGTGTGAAAATAACTGATGAGAAATTTAAGCGATTGATTGGTATATTTAAATCAGACGAAGCCGTTAATGCAAAATTTATTGGTATTGATCCAAAGACGGCTGATAGATATTTGATCGAGGTGTGATTCCATATTGTTTTGATTATTATTTCAACTTTATTTTGTTCGAAACTTAACGAAAAGTCATTTGTATATTTTGATTTCAATGTTTACGATTTTTGATGATATAATTATGTGTTTATTCGATTTATTTACTATTTTTCTGGGATCTGAAATAAATTCAATCTATTTTTATTTACATGTATTTCTCAATTAAAACCAAATAAAGTACAAACAATAAAAAAACTGTACAACTACAATGGGAAAAGTAAAGTTTTCAGTCATATAATGGCAATTTTTCTGTAGCTTAAAGCTTTAGACAACACCAACTTTGAACAATTGAATGTGAGTTGAGGTAAGTTTCGAGTTTATCATGTTGAATTTTACACGAGCTTACCGGGCATCGACGAAGATTAATTGTTACTTCAATGTATTGCACACATTGTTCTTGGGTCTTCTTTCAATATTGATATCGGTCAATGTTTTTATTAAAACTCAAAGAACAATTTCAACTGATTGAATACCTCTTATCATCCATCGTTTGTTTAAAAATGTAAGAAAAACAGTCTTATCTGTGTGGAAATTACACATTGCTCATATATTATAATTTCAAAATTCTTGATGTCATTGATACAGAATTTTTTTGTTACAATACTTCTACTAAATCACTTTAGATTGAATCGCTAAAGTTATAAATATTAATATGTATGAGATAGCTTGCAAAAAAAATCGAACGATATATTATTGTAATATATCGCAAAATAATTGCGATCGATTGATGCAATTTAGATTTCTAGTGCAGTTTTTTTTACTTGCTCTCGCAATTTGCGTGACAGCATAAATTATTGTTTTGTATATGTGTTCATTGCAAAATAATTCTGGTGACGAATCGTAGCGCATATGCCTTGAACCAAATTCCGTTTATCACACAGTTATTCTTATCAGAAAGTACGTCAACAGCTAGAAGTAAGGTATTAATTACAATAAGCAAGACACACCAGGTGCATTGCCTTCAAATCTATAGTGCCTATTGATAACTGTTGTTAATTGAATACCACTATACGTTTGCATTTGAAAATTGCGTAATTGTAGTTCTAGTTCAAAAATTTGACTTGTGATTTTGTTTATTCATCAATAAAAAATAAATTTTATTACAAAAAACATCCATCTACATGTTTTATTAGAGCATAAAACCTCCGCACTCACACACTATGCGAAAATCGTCCAAATGAAGATGTTGTTTTGAAGATCAATTGTACAGCCATTTCCATTCGATAATTATTATCGTCGGCGGTCTAATCTAAATTGATTTTTGGCTTTTGGGGTTTTCGTGATATCGCTGAGAATGACGCAAAAATATTCGTTGTTAAACAAGTGTATGAGAGTAATTTAAACAAGCAACAACCAACATGGGTGCAATGAGAAAAAAGAGACACGCAACGTACCAGCATCATGAGAGCGCCGCATAGCGTAAAACGCAGCACACGGTTAATGATTGGTTTTGAGGTAGGGAAAAGGCGACACAACGAGAGAGAAAGAGCGGTAAGCAAAGCATATACAGGTCTCTAACACTTACAATTCCACTCTTTTAATCGGTCGAGTCAGTTGAGCGCTGGCAACGAAACAATCCACACACATTGTTTTGTGTTATGTGTGTATCTTTCGAGTGCGCGGAAGGCAAAAATTCCACTCTGTGTATTGTGTATAGTTTTCAATCCACGGATTTTTCTTTGTTTTGTTTTAGTTGATTGTTTTTCGATCGGCCGTTGTGTTTCTGTTTAATGTTGCTTCTTTCATCTACTGTTGTTGCAACCAACGCGCAACAAACTCTTACCTGGTTAATTCAACTTTTATATGTACAGATATTATAGGCACAGATTCGGTTCGATTTCAAGTATATGTGAATTTCGACGATGAAAATATCATAAAGAAGAATGTGAATGAGATGTGCTTTCAGTGAATGTGTGTGATGCAAAAAAAAAACAACGAAAGAAAAAAAGAAATCATTTGAAATAAATTTAATGTAGTGTCTTCGATGAATGTAAGAAAAAATTGAAGTGAATTACTATTGGAAAACATTAAAAGCAGCCGATCATATTTTGTGTTAATGGTGTGAGTTGAATCAAATTTACAGAAAAAAAAACAGATTTCAATCAAAAATCTCAATTGAATTTGCGAGACGATTAAAATGTCCGAATGAAATGCGGCTATCAGACATGAGCTGAGGCGCATTCGAAACGACCAGTTTGAAAAACCCAGTACGATTTCTAATACATTAAATCACTTCTTGATTCTCAGCGTTTTGAAATGAAACACCCAAGTGTTTTAACTTAAACGTTTTTACATTTCGAGAGTTATACGAAAACGACGGATATTCACACTATCTGTTGAATGAAGTGGACGCCAAGACAAAAGGGTAAATAACATCTTTCGAAAATCATGGCATCTTCAGCCCACAGTTCATTTCCGAAATGGTTGCTTTCTATCATCCAAAATGGAATCAGTTGCAAATGATAATTATTTCGGTATTGCGTCGTGATTTTCGATTGTTTACTTACCTTTACACTCAGTTTGTGGCTGGTGTTGTTTTCGTTGTTGTTGATTTAATTTCACCAAGCGATTCGAAACCATTCAAAACCAATATAATAGTACAAACAAAAAACGTATCTATCTTTTACTGCCATTGTTTCGTCAACATGAGAAACATTTACGAAGTTATCAAGCGAACGAAAAACAATTTTATTGACAATCGACTGTGAGAGTTAAATGACATTTTTCGGAACTTGATCGTACAAAAACCAAACTTCTCCATATAAGTTACACCAATTATCCAAAAGCCATGCACGATTTTGTTTGCACGGCAGCGGAGCTCTTTGTAATAAAATACATTGAAAGAAAAAACGAAGTTGAATTAAGCAACTCAATTGGAAGCGCGTTTGCGTGGTATAACCAACAAGAAGACGGCAATTTAAAAAGTCTTTCCAAGACTTCTCTTTCGTATTCTTTGCCAAAATTCACGGTCCATGTTCTAGGCAAACAAAACTACGCATTGTGTACGTGTAGTTCCATTAAATCCCTCTGTTTTGTTTTTGCATATCTGTTTAGCTCTTTATTCTTAGTGTTCGTTGTTCGATACATTTCTGTCTTCATTTTACGTTCAAAATTTTAACATATCCCCTCGATTTACATGGCTCTTTCTTTCACTCGATTGCGGACGCCTAACTGTGTGCCAAGCATATTGAGACTCACTAAAAAAAACTGTTGTGAGTGACCGAGCGTCAAAACCACTGCTGGCGCGGTCGTAGAAGATTTTTGTTCTTCTTCTTTTTTTCGCATTGTGTTTGTGTACGATTGCGATTAAATCTCGAAGAAAAGAATTGTTGACTTTGCTCGATACCTCTTTTCTTTCTCATTTTAGTATATTCGTTAATATAAACAGCTTTGTGTAGACCATTTTTCGACCATTTTCATTATGTACCACCATTAATTGGCGCTTTCAATTAAGTTTTTTTAGAAACACATCTAGATCGCGCGTTGAATGAAAGAGTTTCAGAATCAAGTTTAAATATTATGAGCCACTTTAGTCCAAACGTGAGCCAAACCAATTATTTACCATACAAAAGAGAGAGAGAGAGAGAGAGAGAGAGAGAGAGAGAGAGAGAGAGAGA